CACAATGATGGAAATAACGAAAAGGATGACAATAGAGTATAGAGATGACGTAACAAATGAACACACTTTTGAGGCTCATTTGGGTCTTTACGTTTCCTTTTTTTGGGAGACCTCGTCTTCTTGGTGACTGCTTTGCCGTTGCTGTTGTTGTTGCTGCTACTATTATTGTTGTTGTTGTTATTACTGTTGTTGTTGCTGCTGTTGTTCGATGTCGTTACTGCGTCGGAGCCATTCTGTTTCGAATTCTGAAAATTTTTTATTTATTTTTGGCTATAAATATACACAATATATAGGTATGTATGTATTTATGCGTATATATATATATATATATATATATATATATATATATATATATATCTTGTAAAAATATTTGCATTGCTTGTTTGGAAACAAATCAATGCTTACAACAACAGTATATCAGTTGAAAATGAAGGAATAAACAAACACAACATGCATCCATGCAAATATCATTCGTGAAGGCTAACAAACAACGAGGCATACAAAAACACATACTCACAAAACGGAAAAACACACGAAAAACATAAAAAAAACATGAAAAATAAAAATAAAAGCAGGCAAAAGAAGGTACCAACAGAGAAGGAGGAGGAGGAGATGCGGACAAAGAGGAAGAAATAAAGTTACTTAGTCGGCGCAGTAAATTATTATTGAAAGAAAAATTAAATTACTCTGACGTCGGCACAATAAACAAAAATCTTTCAATACTGGAATCGAAAAAAAATTTACACAAAACATCTGACAAATAAATTCTAAAAAGATATCTTCTGACATAGAATATATAAAAAAAATAGATTTAAAGCGGCAGAAAAATAAATTTCTTCTTCAGCAAAAGTTTGGAACATTATTTTCAAAAATTTTAAAAAAGGAGAAAGGAAGAAAGAGAGAAAAAATGAAAAAAGAAAACAAGAAAGAAGACACATTTGCAAAAAGATAATGGTCGATATTTCGATCGTTCATTATTGATAGGTCCCATTCTACACCTTAATTCAATTTCTCCATACATCTTCCAAATATAACTTTCAATGTAAACTGCAACCTACTACAACATTCTCGTTGTTATCTCCGCGGAGGCTTTTTTGAAAAAGTACAAAAAGTTGTTTAGTATGGAAGGCAGTTGTTAAAAAATAAATAACAATATTCTGTCCAATAAGCAGTTAAAAGGCGTATTTATGAAAACCAGCACACACCAATGATATTTAATATATAGGAAATGTAAAATCAACCAATTATGATGCTTGAACATTGCACAGGAAAAAAAATAAAATAAAATTTATGGTAATTCATAGAAAGAAATCATTCATGGTTTTATCCATTTCACGTGTTATAAATTACATACTGTCTGTGTTGCAAATATACTCACACGTACCCAAAAATTTATGTACATGCACACATACAAAACACACGTACATTCACACGCATATATATATATATATATATATATATATATATACATATTACGTACGCGCATGCATACATGCATGCATGCACGCATGTATGCACGTATAACAAAAATGCACACAAATACATACATTCATACACACACACACACACACACACACACACACACACACATACATACATACATACATAAAAATATATAGGGAGCATATATAGGAACATATTATAAATTGTACGTTGCCCGTAATGTCGCAATGCAATTTGTTTGTTATTGTCAAAGAATATAAAATGAAAATTGATGGATTGATTTGATTAGTTGAAAAGAAAATTTTAAAAGCATCGCAAAAATATTTTTGTAGAGCATGTACAACAAACACAATGTGTGTGCGTGCGTGTCTGTGATTGTTCGTGTGTATCTAAGTGTGTGTAGATCTGTGTATGTGTGTGTCTGTAAAACGTGGGTATATATGCAGGCTCATATTCAAATGTTTAGTTGTTTAGACGCCACCAAAAATACTAAATTATACATTTATTTGTATATTTATTGTACGTACACACATCGACCGGGACAGTTATAACATTGGTTTTAGAAGTGGGATCTTCGGTGGAAAATAAATGAGCATCGTTGATGAAAATTTTCTTTTCTTTTCGTTGAAATGTCATTTTGTAAAAAAAGAGACAACATAACAAAACTTAATCTACTTAAATTGGTGCAAATCAAAGAAGAGATCCATTTCAATTATGAGGTCCTGGTTAATGCGTTGAATTTACGCTACGGTGAAGAGCACATGAAACAAATAAATTGGTTCCAGTTACGAAACCGGGAGCAGCGACTTGGAGAGTCAACGAAGCAGCTTGCACAGGATATTGAACGGTTGACTCTGCTGTCATACCCACAACGCAGAAAAGAAACTGGATTGGAAGCGTTTGTAAAGGCTGTTCGAGATTCAAATTTTAGACAAACCCTCATACTAGCGGACAATCGCAGCCTCAAAGACGTCGTTGCCTACAGTCTTACATTCGAGTCAGCTAAGCAAGCATCAAAGACTGACGCCAATTTTGTGAAGAATGTTTGTGTCAAAGTATAGTTCTAGGTTGCCAAAATGCTGGAATTGTGGAGATAGAAGACATCTACAACGAAATTGTAAACAACGCCCTGGAAACAATTACTGTCGCTAGTGTGCAGAACAAAAGATTGGAAGATGACCCCGCGTCACGACCGACTGTCTCAAACAGGGAGGCGGGATGCTATTTGAAAGCCAATTTTGCGGTGTAGAAATTGGCTGGTAGAATTGACGCTCCTAGTACCGTGATTAAAGCCTTCAGGCCGCACTGTAAAGGAACCTCCCACAACAATGCCGATACTCTATCCCGTCGATCCAGTTGCAAATACTGCTGATAACTGGAAGAGAAAGTGCTGACAGAGACTGTGCAAAAAGTTGCGATTAAACGACATCGTCCACCGAATTCAAGAACATCGAAAGCCGCGGGCGAGAATGAAATTGTTTATTTGGACAGACTGAATCCATTTTACGCAGACGTTCCAACAAACTTTGTTAGGGCGAACAGAACTGAAAGAGGGGCAGTGTTGTAACCGTCACAAAAATATTTGCTAGAGGCGCTAGTGTCGCATACAGTTCGAGGAGGAACTAGAACCTTCGACAGCGGGATATCGAGGACGTTCGAGAAGCGTCGGTAGGAGAGGTATAAAAAGGCATGCGAGATATTGAATGGTTGTTGTTGAATAATTGATTTTAGAAAGCGAGTGATTGTTGGCGTCGAATGCGATGTTTTATATTTGACTCTGCGTTGTATTTTTATTGTATTTGCGATAAACATTAGTAAAGTGTTATTCGGATAGCGATAGTTTCTGAATGTTAATTTTATAGTTTGTGAATATTAAATTCTATTAGTAAAACTAATTAAAGTTGATTATTGATTAATTAAATATTGTTTTGTAAATAAATAAATTAATAATTTGGAAGTTATATCGTCTTTGTTTTTCACTGGGATTGAACAAACTCGTCGTCGACCGGGACAGTTATAACAATACATAACAGAAAAAAATCAACCAACAGGAGCAAATTCTATTTCAGCAATTGCAAAAAAACTAAAGAAATATATCAAGAATGAAACAAGATGACAAATTTTCTCAAAGTAGTTATGCCCGATGTAAGTAAATTCAAAAATGGCAGGATCAATGAGCTAAGTCGAAATAACCTAAACATGATCAGTAGATTAAAAAATGGTCATAACAAGACCTCCAATCTGTGTGAAATGCAATGCAGAACTAACAATCCAACACATATACACCAGAAAATATACACTCGATGCAAAAAAAATTGAAAAGTGTTTATAAAAAATAAAATTCTAATCTAAATAAACTAATGTTCAAATACACATGTTGAGTTATAGTATTTAGCTTTTAAAAATTGTTTGACAGCAAAGTAGTTTGCGTAAGTTTAAATAGAAGAATTGAAATAGAGTTGCTCCTATAAATCAAACCACAGGAATGTTTTGCCACATATATATGATTGATTGTTATGTTTCATTAACATTAAAAAACATTTTAAAAAATTCTGAAAATTTGCGAAGTTGAGTGCCTGGTTGCAAAATATGTGCACGATTCAATGAAAAAATTTCATCACCACTTCAAATGAAGTTGCCAGCATTTCAATATAATTTTGAAATTAATACAAAAACTCAAACAAGCATGTATAAGAACAAACAAACATACATACATACATACATGCATGCAGATACAAAAACATGGGCATGGCAATGAGGAGTGTGTTTTTATTTGTACAGGTGTCGCTTGGCTGGCGTGTTGTTTTGCTTTATAATTAGCCGACATTTTGGTTTCAGCTATGTGTATCTACGTTTGTATGTATATGTTTGTGCGCATGGATGTGTGCGTCAATGTTTGTATGTTTGTGTTTGTATTGATGTTATGTTTGTAGGTATGTTTGTATATTGATGTTTGTATGTATGTGTGTTCGTGATTTTGGATGTGGGTATAATGATGTTTGTATGTACTTATATTAGTACGTATCTTATCCATGTTTGTATATATATATATATAAACAAAATAAAGAAACATTTATTGAAAAAAAATACAATTTTTATTTAATTAGAATCATGTAAATTGTGCATTATGTTAATTTTGCCATGAATTATAAATTTACTTAAAAATCGTGTTAGAATGAACAATTTGTGAACGGTGGCCTGCGACACAAGAATTTTGTTTTCTTTTACCTTTGGTCTCCTAATTATTACCTAATTATTATTAATTTGGATTGATTGAATAAAATTTGATTTGATTTGACTTGAAAATATATATTCCTGAATTAAATTTTTATATATGTGTACGTACATACAAACATACAGAGAGACGGGCGTGCGTGAATCCACACACACGTACACACATATATAAATTCCTGCGTTTAAAAAAATACATACATACACACGTTTGTACAAACACAAACAAACAAACATCACAAACACATAATAAGATACATAAATAAAAACATACCACATAAGAACATACACACATACATACTTATATACAAACACACATACTTATACATACACAAACACTGGAACTGTGGATTGGACACAGACTGTTGTTATTTCAAGCTCCGTCTTATTTCATGCAAATTGCATGCTTTAATGGTTGTTTATCGTCCTCGCCACTCATTACAACAACATCCATACTTTCCACATTACATTATTATCATAATAATAATAATTATTATTATTATTATTATGAAAATAATTAATTTATGGTCGCAGATAATGCAAATGTAATTATTGCAACATCAGCGTTTTGTATGCCAGTGCTGTGCATCTGCATATCTTTATGACTGTTCATCTTTTGTTAGGTATCGCTTAACTTCGTTCCAGTAATTTTAAATAGGCCAGTTTTTTTAAAGTACGATTTTTTAAAAGTTTAAAAATTAATTTCTGACAAAAAATATTTCACATGACTTTTTAATGTTCTTTCCGCGATTCCTACAAATGAAACATTCATTATGCAGTGAAATAAAAATTATGCCTGCGAGTCTAATTGTGCGAGCAAAATGTTTCAAACAGCTTAAACAAAGAATAAAAACACTGAAAATTTCACCGATATAAATCTATTTATTCTTCATTCGTTGTTTTCTTCAACGCTTGTGTACATAAATGAATGAGAACATAAATATACCCTGTGTTTGTACGTGTGTGTGTGTGTGTATGTCTGTGTACATGTGTGCGTGTGTGTTTTTTAATGTATAATATATATATATATATATATATATATATATATATATATATATATATATATATATATATATATATATATATGTATATATATTCATCCCACAAAAGTGAATATAAAGAAATGAGTTAAGAATGCTTAATGTAAGTGAAAATGATTATAAAGCTTTTTTTCTCTCGTAAGATCAAATAAAATGGCACTTAAATGTTTGATTGACGACAGACTCAAGCACAGTTGAAACTGTTTGGGCCTTCCCATTCGAAAGATGTTTTGTGTGTATTAACGCACAAATGGCATACAAGCCAACTGAAATAAAACACATTGATAAAACATTTAAATAGACACTTGTATCTATTTCACAAAAAACAGACATATATCAAACAAGCAACCAATACCAATGCGTTCATATGAGCATACATACATGCCTGCATACAAACATACACGTATTTACTAACAAACAGACAAACAAACAAACAAACAAACAAACAAGCAAACCTACAAACTTACACATGAATTCTCACAAACATACGAGCACTTACATGTACTTTCATACATACAGACAGTTACACACTCCAAGAAGTAAAAACTTATACATACAAACCAACATTCAAATATTTATACATGATTATACATGCGTTCACACATTTATACATATTTAAACATATACACTTACATACGTACATATTTTGATCATAAATACACACACACACACACACACACACAAACATACTAACATACTAACATAAATAGAAACATACTCACCCACGGACGTACGAACAAGCTAACATACAAACGTACGAACACTTACCCAGGAAAAATAGTTTGGATGCTTGTGTGATAGAAAGCCGTTATTATGGATGCAATTATAAATTAGGTGGCCAATAAATCATAGATTACTTCCAATATATCTGATCTTCCCCGGAGATATACAATGGATGCGTGAGGATGACGACGACGACGATTGTGATGACGATGATAGTGATGATGACGATGACGATGATGATGATGATGATGATAACGAGAATAATTATAATATTATTGACATTACTGTTTGCATTTAGTTTAAATGCTATTACAATAATAGTGAAGTGTCAGCAATACTAGTGTTGTTAATACAAGCGAGACGGTATAATAAAATGACAGATAAACGATTTGGATACATACACACACACACTCATATTCTTTCTCTCTCTCTCTTACTTACACCACACACACACACACACACACACACACACACACACACACACACACACACATATTTTCTCACACACACACACCACACTACACATACACACACCATACACTCACACATATTTTATCTCACACACACACACCACATTACACATACACGCACCTCACCACACATACACACACCTCACACTCACACACACGCCGCACCACACACACAAACTACACACACCACACACACGCTTCAATGCAAAACTCATTATAGATCAATAGTATATTATTGTTGATATGTAATTATTTTTGGACGAACATGTAAAAAAATTTATAATAATAATAAAACACGGACTCGTAAAACAAGCATGCATTCGCTTCCGCATCACTCAAAATTTTAAAGACACAGCAAAAGTTTAATTGCGATGAAAAATTTGAAAGAGAGAACGACGATCATTGTTCGTGTGGGTAGTGGAGTGGAGTGGAGGGCATGGGGTGTGTTCGTGGTGTGGTCGTGGGGGTAGTGGAGTGGAGGACATGGAATATATTCGTGGTGTGTCCTGCAGCTGCGGGTTAAATTCTTATTTGCTCTTAATAATAAGCTAGCAACAAAACTAAAAAAAAAGAAGAAATAGAGAATAATAAATTATAGAGATACAGTGAGGAGAGGGAAAATCAAAACGCAAAAGAAAGAAAGCAAAAGAAGGGAACCAAAAATAACGAAAGACGAAAGAGGAGAAAGAAGAACATGTCAAGAAAAACATGGAAGCGAGAGATATAAAAAAAACATAAACAGAGCAAGAGAAGAAGAAAGGAAGAGAGGGTGAAAAACATAAAAA